TGTGGGCCAGGATGTGCGAGTTGCTGGTGAAAGGCTATGCCTGTATGTGAGGATGACTGCAGGAGCCATCGGTCAGGAATGGTGCTGACAGGGACAAGTTAAGCACCACACAGTTATGAAGCAAGCATACAATATTCCTTCCAGTCATGCAGTCACCTTGCAAGCTGCAATTTAGGGAAAAAAAACTCTAAAGAATTAACTGGAAGTTGTTACCATTCCTTGGGCATGCCAAGTGCTCAAGATAAATCTTTTCCTGAAGGGAAAAGCAAGGTTAAATCAAACTACAAAGCCCATCAAGCATGAGATTTACAGGAATCTAAAAGGGTTACGGGTTCATTTCTTAAACAGTTGAATTATGGTTGTTTCTGGGTATTGATATATTAAGCACGCTGACCCCATCAGTGTTGCAGGGAGCTAGGGGATGAGCAGCAACGGAGAGATCGCGTTGGTTATCGTTTTTATGTATGTTTCAAAGTCACTTCCAAAAAAGAAGATGAGATAGTAGTTGAGTATTCCAGCCAGGGACATGAGGAACAGGAAGAAGATGATGCGCTTTCCAAACAAGTAACCGGGCGTGCTGAGGAGACAGAAGGGGGGAAAAGCACCTTGTTAACATATGTCAACTCATGCAAGATGTCCTCAGACTTCGCACTCTGCTGTTAAGACTAGATGAAAGACTTCGGGGGCTGAGACAGAGGGGGCAAACTTCTGCACTGTCTTGCATTGCAAGGAAGCTGCAAGCTCTTAAATGCTGTTTTCAGGATCCATTTGGGTCTGGATTTGGCCTCCTGTGCTTAGCGTAGGCTGCTGCTTATAAAAATGACTATTCAGAAGGACTTGTATGTCTTCTCAGCCATCACGGGCTGTGGGACAACCTTGTTCCACATGTGCATAATGAGCTTTGTTAATATAAAAGGATGATCTTGTGCAAATAGTGGCACAAACATGCAAAAGTGCAGGTTTGCAGAGGCTGTGAGCAGGAGTTGCTGAAGGAGACACTCTGTTCCTGCAGCTCTCCTGACCCTGGTGCCACCGCACCTCCCACTTCTCCCACAGCTCATCCTGTGCACCCAGAAGGGGGGGGGCTTTCCTGCACTACCCTGTGCAAGCAGCCGTCGCAGGCAGTACCATGAGCCGGTGGTTGTGCCTGTGGGAGTGGCAGCGTCCAGCTGCACTGCTGCTGCATCCTGGATTTTGTAAAGAGGATTTGCAAGTCCTTACCTCTGAGTCCTTTCCCCGAGGTAGCCCACAAAGTACTTCTGCCTCACAAACAGGTACATCAGGCCAGCAAAGGCAGCAGGAACTGGGTAAAGGATAAAACAAGATGTTACAAACACCAGCCCTTGTCTCACTGTACTTGCTGTCCCCATCTGCTGTCTGGGCTGGACTGGGAAATGGGAACCTGCAGCCTTGGGTTATGGGATGAGTGCTCGAACAGGGACAGAGACCTTTGTGTGGGGAAACAGAGTGCTTGCCTTGCCCTCGCTCCAGCTTTCTGAAGCCTTTGTGGGTATAATTTTGCCCACAGCTGCGTCCACTGCAAAGCACAGACTCGTCCCCATCGGAAACCCAGTGTGGGTCGTGCTGGGCTCAGGAAGGAGGGTGCCAGCTCACACACTGTTTTCACTAGATACAAAAAGCAGCCAACAGATGAGCTTCTCTAGGAGCAGATGGAGGACTATACTATGGTCCAATACTAATTTCTGACCACATAAAAAGGGGCTTTTCCCCCTAATTCTAGCTTTTCCCACACCTGCAGGCAAAAGCCCCTCTTCTCCTGGTCAGGAAACTCCTCTTTTCTAGAAAGAATAGCCACAGACCCCAGGAAAGTACTCATCTGAACTTTAGGTAAACTCAAATTGCATTGAAGGGGATCATATTTAGAAACGTAGGTAATTACTCCTGGACTGCCTTCAGAGCTGGGAAGGGCTGGCAGCTCTGGCAATTTAATCAAATGAGCCCATTTCCAGTCTTGAGGGTGAATAATATGTCATCCAGCATCCAAGTACTAAACCTTCCACCCGAAACAGAGGAATCTCATCCATCATGCTTGTATGGGAAATGTCCCTGGCCCGGACTGTCCTGAATAACGTCTGGGAACACGTCTGTTGGCATAAAGCATGCCAGGAGTGTGTGGCTAATTAAACAGCACGCATAGCTGCAGGACAGCAGGGTGAGACTGGTCCCGCTTCTGCGGGAGAATTCGGTCCCTGGAAGCGTAATCTCCGAAGCACTCGCCATCCCTTGCTGAAAGTGGCGCAAGGTTGAAGAGGGGAAAAAACTGTGTGTTACCTTGGCTGCAGAGAAGGCCAGCGCACCAAAGCACAGCCAGAAACGTAGGGTACGCATGTCCGCAGTTCTGGCTAGAAAGGAATTTATCAGAGAGAAATCAGAACACGGGGAAACAGAAACAAAATCAACATGTTTCACCAGCAAAGGACGGTGGGGTGTGAATTTGGGCTATGCTAATGCTGCTGCAGGTGGGATTTTACCCCAGAGCAGTGGGAGGCCCCCAACCTGCCTGCAGCAGGCAGCTGCCAGG